ATTTGTGGAAGCAATATTGAAGATTTAGGGCTGCAAATGACCTCCCATTTTGTAGGTGGTAAGATGATTCTGAATGGTGGGGTCAACTCCTGCACTGAGAGGTCACTGTATTTAGTTAACAATTAGGCAGCTCAGAGTAAACAAAAAAAAGAAAAAATCTTCAACCAATTACTTACAGCATAGCCCCGCAAGAAAGGCCACAACTTCACAGGTGGAAAAAGCATGCATTTTGAGTTAGACAAACACGAGTTTGATTTACAGCACTACTTCGAAACGGTCTGGACGTTCAAGTAAGTGTGGTGTTGACATTTGACAGCGCTTGTACAAACAGTAACCACCGTATTACATGTGTAAACAGTAACACTTCTTAGGGTGCCATTTTTATTTTTTAAGAATAGAAAAATAAAAAAACAAGGAAGATGAATAGAGGGAACACCTATCCAGGATGGCTTTGACTTGGAACTATTGGATTTTTTTCTTATGATACTCTAAAATGCTACTCACTCAGATAACTGCACAATGCTGGGGGAGACACAATGGCCAAGACACTCTTGGCCATTTTCCTTCCAAAGAATAAAACGCATTTTAAAAAAATTTTCTTCAATAAAAGTGGTTTTTTAAAAAATATAAACTACCAAAGACAGAATAATCTTGAGATAGAGAATAATGATTCTAAATACCATCATCCTCCATTCCCAGGATTATAAAAGCAGCAAATGTTTCATGACAGAAAAAAAATTTTTTTAAACACAGAAACACAAAAAAGGGAAAATTAAAAGCTATATAAAGATAAATACAGTTAAACCAGGGAGTATATAATTCTAGATTTTTACAATCTATAATATAAATGATTAATATGTCTATATTTATATTAATAAAAATGAGATAATATTGTATACACTACTTTGAAATCTGATTTTCCAGTTAAGAGATCATTAATATATTTTAAATGAATAAATATCCATCTACAATAATTTAATTAATTATTGATATTACATTATGTGAATATATAATAATTTATTTAGCTAGCACATCTGTAACTAAACTTTTCATTTATTCCCAACTCTTCACTATATAAAAGGCAATACCGTGTTGAACATACTTATATCTGAATTCTATAATACATTCATGATTACTTCATTAAGTTAGATTTCTAAAAGTGGGATTGCAGGGTAAAAGGTAAACAAATTTTAAGAGATTTCTGAGTCATATTAAAAAACTGACCACCAAGAAGACTATAATAATTTACACATCTACCAGTAACATATCAGAATACCTATTTCCTGAAATATTTCTTACAAATACTGAATGCTATCATTTTCTTATTTGCTTTTGGCAAGTTTATAGGCAAAGATATCCCACAACATTAATACGTATGTTTTATTACTAGAGTTATACATTTTGGTCATGTTATCATTAGTCTTTTATTTTTATTCTTTCCTGACTGTCTAAATATAATTTTGGCAAATTTTTCCATTAAGTTGTGTGTCTTCTCATTAAATTTGAAACAATGCATTATATTGTTACATACTACAGATATTTACCTATGGGAATATTTACTATAATTATTTTTCTTGATAAGCTTTCTTTATTAATTTTCTTTATTTTTTCTTTATTTTCTTTATTAATTCCTTTTAGATACTTTAAAAAACATTTTAGGGCCAGCCCTGGTGGCCTAGTGCTTGAGTTTAGTGTGCTCTGCTTCAGCCACCCTGGTTCAGTTCCTGGGCACAGACCTACACCACTCATTGCCATGCAGGTGGTGATCCACATACAAAACAGAAGAAGACTGGCAACGGACATTAGCTCAGGGCTAATCTTCCTCAGCAAAAAAAATCACAAAAAAACTTCATGCAGTAAAATTATTAACCCTTTCCTTAATTATTTCAATCTTTAGTGTCATACTTATGATGATGAATCACTGTCAGATTATAGAAAATCATTTTCTTTTTGGGTGAGGAAGATAGGCCCTGAGCTGACATCCACTGCCAATCTTCCTCTTTTTGCTTGAGAAGATTGTCCCTGAGCTAACATCTCTGGCAATCTTCCTCTATTCTGTATGTGGGACACCACCACAGCATGGCTTGATGAGCAATGTGTAGGTCCACACCTGGGATCTGAACCTGCAAACCCTGGGCTGCTGAAGCGGAGCACACAAACTTAACCACAATGCCACCAGGCCTGCCCCCAGATTACAGAAATATTTGCTAATAGTTTTATTAGTTTCCCCAAAATTTCTTTCTTTTTAAAAATTTAAACATGTATTTGATCTAGAATTCATTTTTATATATGAGGTATGGACTTACTCTTTTTATCCAAATGAGCAGATAGTAGTGGCAACAGCAATTACTGAATGTCATCTTTATCATATAGTAAATTCTTTCATATACTTTGAACTATTTGCAAATTTTTTTACTCTATTCCTTTAATCTATTACTCTATTCCAGTGTGAGAGGGATATTAATTATTTTCGGTTTATAATAATACTTATATATTTGATTGGAAAAGACTACACTCTAATTTTCTTTTCCATATCTTTTAGCAAATATTGTTCATTTTTGTCAAAACTGAATTTTAGAATTATTTTGTTAAGATAGCCCACCACTACCAAATTTACTTGATATTCATTGCAATTAGATTAATTTTGGAAAAACTGTCTGCAATATGAAATATTCCCATCCTAGCACACTGTATGTATTTGTACATAATGAAGTCTCTTTTAAATTACTCTGTAACACTTTCACATTTGTTCTACATATTACTTGTTAAGTATACTCATGGAGATCTTGTATTTTATGCCCCATAGTGAATAGTGCATTTTTTCCAATAGATTTTATGAGGGTATTGCTAATAAAAGAGAAGCTGATTTGTTTTCTAAGTGGGCCATCTAACCAACTACAGTCTTATTGGTCCTAATTATTTTTCAGTTGATTTTCTTGGGTGATGCAACTAGATAATAATAATCTATGAATAATGATAAGACGTACAGCTCATTACAATATTTATAATTTATTTCTTTTTTTACCTTATTTGATAGAACTTCTAAAGAGGTGGTGAGAAGCATCTTCACCATACTTCTGATGTTAAGGCAAATAAGTGTTTTAGACAGTTAAATCTATGGTGGCTGCCAAATTTCATATAGATGCTCTTTATCATGCTATTGAAATATTATATTGCTGTATTTTAGTAAGTTTAAAAAAAATCAGGAATGCAGGCTGGATGTTATACAATGCCTTTTTAAATATATAAAGATAATCATATATTTTATCTCCTTCACCTAGTAATTTGACAAATGATATTAATAGATTTTTAAATATCAAACCATCCTTGCATTTCTAGAATAAATCCTACATAGTAATGCTAAATTACTTTCTTAAAACACTTTGACTTCACTTGCTAAAATTTTATTTATTTTTTATTCATAATTGTGAAATTGGTAGTTTTCTCTTTTGTGCGACTTTTGTCTGGCTTTGGTATCAAGATGAAGCTGGGTGCAATGACCTAGTTTTCTGCAGGCCAATGCTCCCACTACGCACTAGGAAAGGCAGTAAAAAACTTAGAGAAAATATATATTTAAAGGTAACAAAAGGCTGTAAAGCAATAAGAACTAAAGAAAACAAGACGGCAAAGAGATGAGACCTTTGAGAGGTGAGGCGAGGATCCGCAGCTGCCCCTGGAGCACCTGCCACACCCAGGCCTGGAGGACACTGGGAACCTGGTTAGGTCCAGGCAGAGCAGCTATTGGCGTGAAAAAAAAATCACTGAGTTTTTATTGCTTCCACGGAGCTGAAGTGCCAAAATGGGAGATTTGAGGGCCAGTTTTCTCCTTAAGACATTTTCTGAATTCTAAAGCTACGCAGCTGAGGAAAATAAGGGTCTAAGCCAAAACCTTTTGAAAAGCAAAGTAAAATTTCCCACAATCTCACACTGTTTCAGAGAAAAAGACTCACTAGTGGGAGGATTCATGAGACTCTCAGGTGGGAGCTGAAAGCTCTTGAGGGAGTGGTGAATTGACAACCTCCAACCACTTTTTTTCCTGTTGGCAGTCGCTGGTCTGGGTATGACTCCTTCTCAAGACATTTGCCAAATTCTAAAACTGAAGAAGGCAGGAGGCTACAGAGATACGGTTTCTCTGAAACGTGGAAATTTCCAGTCCTCTTGGTGCTGAAGAGACAATGATGTGCCAGGCTCTTCAAAAAGCTCTGAAGAACCACATCCTAGCAATAAGGGCAAACCAAAGGTGCACTACAACTGCAGCCCAAGCTTGACACAGATCAGTCCATGATTGGATTAAGGTGGTGAGGCTCAAACTACAACCCACCTGCCCATTCTACCTACTTAGTAAGGGAACAGGTGAACCAATTCTAGTGGAAGACAGTATCACCCGGAACCTCTACATATTTGCAACACAATGTCTAACATCATCCAGAAAATAGTAGGAAGAGACAGGACCATATGACTGATAACCAAGAAAAAAAATCAGAAACAAATCTACCAATATATAGGTACACTACACATTGGCATTAGTAAACAACATCTTTAAAATGACTGTGATTAATATGCTCAAGAAAATAGAGAAAAGATAGACGAACTAGATAAAAAGATGAAAATTTTCACCAGAGAATTTGAGGTTATACAAAAAATTAAACAGACATTCTAAAATTAAAAGATACATGTCTGAAATTCTAACTCCTAAGTTTCTCTCTTATTTCTACCCAGGCATTTATTATGTGTTTGCACTAACTACCTTCAAATTAGGAGAAACAGAAGTAGACATAATATTAGGGACTATTTTCAGAATAAACAAAATACAAAAGTCAATGAAAAAAAGATGGATGAGGTCTCTGAATCTTGTTAAGGGATGATAATTATAGTGTGAGTTTTTATATCCTGAAGAACTTCCTGGCTAGTTAAAGTGGAAACAAATATCTTTCACCAAACTGGATTTTAAGAGGACTTTTTTCTATATGATGGGCAAAGTAAGAGCAATTGTCACTTACAGGAAGGTGCGTGAATACAGCAAAGGTGCTGCGTAGAAAGGCAATGAGGTCTACCAGGTAATCACTAGCTTTGCTGCCCAAATCTCCAGTCATCCAGTCGTAGTCAGCCAGCTGTAGAAACTGGTCAATTTTCTGGTTTAAGTTGGTATAAATCTCTTCTTCAGCTGCATGTCTGGCATCCTGTGCAATATGAAATTTTAAAAATCATTCAGATGTCCAGCAAAGCAGAAATTTCTGCTTGGAGACATCTCACACTTATATCCACTAAGTAACAGAATTCGGAATATCAAGTAATACCATTCTCTCCATCAATCTTTCTTTTTTCAAAAGCACGGTGGAGTCTTTTCTATTTTATGTCTGCAAGACAAGCTATGATTTTGCTTCACCAAATAGAGAACCTGCCTTCACTGAGCTCAGCTATGTGCATCCTTTTTACTTTCTTATCTCCGTTCAAAACTATACACACTCTCAGGATCCTATTCCGTTTTCTCTCCTGGGACTCCTTTCTTGTAATACCACCTCTCTTTATGCCCTAGTCTCTTCACTTTGCTTATTAGAAGTATCTTGAAGTTTCAACTTCATGCTATATATTCACACTAGTTACTATCCTACCTCTTTAGTTTCTTTGTCATCAAGCTTCTCCAAAGACTGCTATCATCCATGTTTCCTAAGACGTGTTCTAATCTTAGCAGCATGATAAAATAGATATGCATCTGTAGTATGGACAATATCCTATAAAATGACTATAAATTAAAAATTATAAATATTAATTATATTTATATTTATTATAAATATAAAAATTATATTTATAAATTATAAATTTAAAAATGCTACAGCAACATCAAAAGAGTTCCTAGATGAAGTAAATTAGATAAGTCCTGTTTAAGAGATTCATGTTGTACACCAGTATATAAGAGGCTCTAAGAAGTGTTATGGGACTAATGTTCCAAGAAAAATATTTTCAGAACAAAAGGGCCTACATTGCACCAGGGTAGTCAGGATTCCAATGCTAACAATCCATCAACATGGGTTGGTTCAGGGTAACCCATGACCTCCATGCGACCACATCCAACACATATTCATTTTTTAGTCTGATCTCATTTGATCTCTGTTAAACGTTCTGTGCTAGAACTCTGTTCTCCTTTGATTTTGATGATACGGTTTTCTTCTGGTTTTGCTTTTACTTTTCTGGACTCTAATCCTCTCACTTTCGCTAGGTGATTTCATCAACTCCTATGGCTTCCACTAACTCTTGTTAAAGACCCATATATCTGATTGCTTCCTAGGCATTATGGCCCACAGAAACTTTGAACATGGTACGTCCAGGACTAGGATGATCATAATCCCCACTCTTCACCTGTTCAGTTCAGTCCAAGGCAGAGATCTAAACAACATATTGGATTCCATTCTTTCCTTCACAGTCATTCAATGTGTCCTGTAATTCTAACTCCCAAATTTCTCTTTAACTCCTATACTCTTCTCCATTTTCACCTTTGTAATGGCTGCATAATTTTGTAATACATTTACATACTATAATATAGGCATTGACTATGTTTACTTATATGAACAATGGTTTCGTGGGCACTTCTGTGCTTACATCTTTACAGACTTGTATAATAATCTAATACTGTCCTGGAATTCTCATTTTATTAAGTTTTCTTTTAACGAATGAAATTTTTTAAAGAAAAACTGAGCAAAAAGTACAGAGCATTCACATATATTGCTTCCCCATCCCCCTCCCACTATTTCCCTATTAAAACATCTTGCATTAGTGTTGAACACTTGTTACAAGTGATGAACCAATACAGATATTTTATTATTAACTGAAGTCCACAATTTGCATTAAGGTTTACTCTTTGTGTTGTACAGTTCTACGGGTACTGACAAATGCATAATGTCACGTGTTTGCCACTACAGTGTCAGGCAGAATAGTTTCCCTGCCCTAAAAATCACTATGCTCTATCTATCATCCCTCCCTCATTCATCCCCCAAATCCTGGCAACCACTGATCTTTCCACTTTCTCCGTAACTTTGCCTTTTCCAGAATGTCACATACTTGGAATCACAGGGTATGTAGCTTTTCAGAATGGCTTCTTTTACTTAGCAATATGTGTTTAAGCTTCTTCCGTGTCTTTTCGTGGCCTGAGAGTTCATTCATTTTCATCACTGAATAATATTCCATTGTCTGAATGTATCACAGCTTGATTATCCATTCACTCATTGACTGACATCTTGGTAGCTCCCCGGTTTTGACAATTACGAATAAAATTGCTCTAAACATTCGTGTGTAAGTTTTTGTGTGACTTAAGTTTTCAATTCATTTGGGTAATACCAAGGAGCATGATTGTGGATTGCATGGTAAGACTATCTATGTTTAGCCTTGTAAGAAAGTGACAAACTGTGTTCCAAAGTGGCTTTATCATTTCGTATTAGCACCAGCAATGAATGAGTGTTGCCGTTGCTCCAGCATTTGGTGTTGTCAGTGTTTTGTATTTCAGCTATTGTAATAGTTGTGTAGTGGTATTTCATTGTTGTTTTAATTTACAATTTCCTCTCCAGTCTTTGATGAGTTGTCTGTTCAGATTTTTTGCCCAGTTTTAAATTGGGTTGTCTCTTATTGTTGAGTTTTACCAGTTCTTTGCATATTTCAGATATAAGACCTTTATTAGATACGTGTTTTGTAAATATTTTCTCCCAGTCTGTGGCTTGTCTTTTCATTCTCTTAACAGTATCTTTCCTAGAGCAGAAGTTTTCCATTTTAATGAAGTCCAGCTTATCAATATTTTCTTTGATTTTTGGGTGTGGTGTAAGATGGGCTCCAGGTTCATTCTTTTGCATGTGACTGTCCAGTATTCCCAACACCATTTATTAAAGAGACCAGCCAGGCCAGCCCCGTGGCCGAGTGGTTAAGTTTGTGTGCTCTGCTGCGGCAGCCCAGGGTTTCGCTGGTTTGGATCCTGGGCGCAGACATGGCACCACTCGTTCAGGCCATGATGAGGTGGCGTCCCATGTGCCACAACTAGAAGGACCCACAACTAAAATATACAACTATATACCGGGGGTATTTGGGGAGAAAAAGCAGAAGGGGGAAAAAAAAAGAGACTATCCTTTCCTCACTGTATATTCTTAGCTCCTTTGTCATAAACTAATTGACCAAATATGCATGTTTTTTCTGAACTGCCTATTCTGTTCTCTTGATCTGTGTCTGTTTTCATGCCAATACCATACTGTTTTGATTACTATAGCTTTGTAATATAATTTGAAATCAGGAAGCATGATGCCTCCAGCTTTGTCCTTTTTTCTCAAGATTGCTTTGGCTTTTTGGGGTCTTTTGCGATTCCATACAAATTTTAATACTGTTTTTTCTATTTCTGTGAAAAATACCCCTGGAACTTTGATAGGGATTACATGGAATTTGTAGATCACTTTGGGTAGTACAGACATTTTAATCATATTAATTCTTCCAATCCCTGGACATAGAATATCTTTCCATTTATTTGTGTCTTCTTCAATTTCTTTCAACTAGGCCTGGTATTTTCTCTTTTGAAAGGCTATTAATTATTGATGCAATTTCTTCAATAGATATTACGCTATTCCGATTATCTAATTCTCCTTGTGTGAGTTTTTGTATATTGTCTTTCAAAGAATTGGTTCATTTCATGTAGATTATCAAACTGAGAGGATAGAGTTGTTCATAATATTCCTTTATTATTCTTTTAATGTCCTTGGAATCAGTAGCAATGACCCCTCTTTCATTTATATTAGTTAATTTGTGTCTTTTCTCTTTGATTCTTGGTTAGCCTGGCCCAAGGTTTATCAATTTTATTGATCTTTCTAAGAACAAGTGTTTGGTTTCATTGATTTTCTCTTTTGATTTTTTGATTTCACTGACTTCTGCACTAATTTTTATTTCTTTTCCTCTGATTAGTTTGGATTTAATTTGCTTTTCTTTTTCTAGTTTCCTAAGGCAGAAGCTTAGATTATTGATTTTAGAAATTTCTTCTTTTCTCATATATGCAATTAATGCTATAAATTTCCCTCAAGCACTGCTTTCACTGATGCTACAAATTTTGACAAGTTGTATTTTATTTTCATTTAGTTTGAAACCCTTTTTAATTTCTCTTGAGACTTTTTCTTTGACCCACGAGTTATTCTGAAGTGTGCTGGTTAATCTCCAAATATTTTAAAAATCTCTAGCTATCTTTGTTATTTATTTCCATACTTTAATGCCACGTGGTCTGAAAGCAAGTTTTGTATGATGTCTATTCTTTAAAATTTGTTGAGGTGTGTTTTATTACTCAGAATATGGTCTGTTTTGGTGAATGTTCTCATGAGCTTGAGAATAATGTGTCTTCGCTGTTGTTGGATGAAGTAGTCTATTATAAATGTCAATTTGATCCAATTAAAGTACCACTGAGTTCAACTAAATCTTAGCTGATTTCCTGCCTCCTGGATCTGTCAATTACTGGCAGAGGGGTTTACTAAGAGATTTTGGCAGGAAGAGATGCTGACTTCTATAAAATACTTTTTTAATATCTTAAATACTCATGTATTTTTTCCCATTTGATCTATTGAAGTAGAGAATAATTTTAAACAATTTTTTAATACTAATCATCCTTGCATTCTTAACCTATCATCCCTTTCTCTGTACTTCTAGATTTTGCTTGATATTTTATTAGCACAATTTTTACATCAATATTTACCTTTAATTTTTCAGATTATTTTTTGTGGTTTCTCTGTTTTTTGAATCATTGTTATGTTGACTTTGCAAAAATGAACTAAAATAGCTTCCTTTTTTCTCTGTGATCTGTAATAGTTTAAACTATACAGAAATTATCTGTTTCATGAAGGCCTAAATGTACTCATTGGTGAAATCATGTAGGTGTTACTCAGTTTTAAGAAGTCTTTAATAACTTTTTCATTTCTTTCATAGCTATTAGTCAATTTTCTATATCTTCTTGAACCACTTTTAATCACATATTTTCCTATAGATCCTCAAACTTATTAGCACAGAGTAACACAAAGTATTCTAGCTATTTCAATTCCTCTGATTAGGAATTTTGAGAAATTGTGATTTATTTATTCCTTCCTTTCTTTTTTCTTTTCTCCTTCCCTTCCATCCTTTCTTCCTTTTAATTAGGCAAGGTAAAATGATTATTTCTAAAAATGCAACACACCCT